AAATGTAATTTTACTTTTATTTTATATTACTGGAACATTTATTTAGTTCGCGCAGGATAAATCTTCGAATAAGTGACCTCAAAAGATAAGTGCATTGCACGTTTATCTTTTAGCTATCTTCGTGAAGAAAAGGGTGCGCGTTATACGGCGAATGTACCTAAAAATTAAAAAAAGGAGCTTGAAATTCTAGATGCGGGTTATACGCCGGAAAACATGGTAATTAAATCTTCAGCAATAATATATTTGCAAAAAATATATAATGTTCTTAAGAATTAATATTTATATTAATAGGATTTATAACAGAAATTATTCATCATACAATTGCACACAGCTCGTAGGCTTAAAGAAGATGGTAAGAAAAAATTCCCTCCTTCCTCTAACATCCGGAGAATAATTTGATCTAGTCTGGAGTTTAAAAGATCTCTGAGCTCACTTCTGTCTGGAACTTTCAAGTAAATGAAAGGGTTATGTTCAGATTTCTTTATCACAATAGTAGCTGATCTGATGTTTCGTAGAAAAAGACCTCACTAAAGGATTTATGGAATCGTTGAGTGGTGATCAATCGAATTTGTTGACGTTGTAGAGACATTAGGTATTTTTTGAAAGCAGGATTGATGAAAAATGAGTAGCGTTCTCGCCGGGAATTGAACCACGGACCTCTCGAATATGCGCCCAATGTGCAGACTACTACACTACGAAGGCATGCTAAGAAGGCGGGAGAAATACCTTATAACGTAAGTCGCAGAGTATTTATTAATCGGGTTATTACCTATGGAGTCGTGAATTTTGTAATGCCAGGCGTAAGGAATAATTTGAGAAATTATTTTTTTAAAGTTAGAATATGTATCACAAATAGTGTTATGTTTCACTTGGACCCGATCCCAATGACATAGCAAGTGACGTGTGCTAATGATCGTCGTATCTAGTACGACATTTGTGTGTTTGTAAGTTTCAAAATTTGTAATTTTTCTACAGCACAGAAATTTAATAAAAATTCTAATCTATCTACGAACTAAATAAAGTGCGTGCTAAAACATTTAAATGCTTCCAATTTAGTGGATTTCCTGCTGTATACTATGGCTGCAGGAAATGTAATGGAATTTAACGCTTACTTCCTTTTATTCCCTCTCCAAATAGGTAACCATAATATAGATTGAAAAATGTTGCTTCATATTATTTCATCATGTCAGTCTCATTTTTCCTAGGAATGTTCATTTGTATTATCTTTACCGAGTTAAATGTGCTCAACTTTTGCACAAAATTATTAAAAACGTAATCCGGGAATCTTAAAATTAAAAAATCTTTTAGAAACAGTCTCTTGAAAAGGCATCAAAATTTCTGTCAGTCATCATCACTTGCTGTGTAAAGATCACTTCTAATCTTTCCGCTTGATTTCCTCTCTTTATTTACACCTTCAAAACAGTGAGAATTTATGAACAAGTTAAATGACACGTGAAATGAGATTTTTTTCCCTCTTTCCTCGGTTGATACGTAAAATTTCGCTATTATATTTTAGAAAAAAAGAGCATAAAAAATAAATAAATATCAATAAAATCCAAACTTTCTCAATACAGTTTTGGCTAAAACTTAGCTTTATGATTGACTTACCATTTCTTAAACCAAATTTATCACATTTTTATGATAATAATATTAAGCTACTTTAGAAGTTAGTTTAAAATAATTATTTCAAAGCCTAAAACAGAAAGGAAGTTTCGATTTCCGAAGCATTTCCCGATGTCATATATTTTTTCTGTCCCCTTTTTTTCGAGAACCATCGAAATAAAACATTTTAATTTTTAAACATTAGTGTAAAATGTATTTAAAATTTCTTGTAACTATTTTATACTACTATTTTCATCTTGTATATTTTTTGGTTGCTATTACAAACAACCCGGCCATTTGTAATAAATAGATGCTTAACTGTTAAGACTTTTCAAATTATGCTCGTCATTACTATTGTCTTTCAAGTTACGGGAAAACGCTACCTTATCCCGATTATCGAAACATGTTTTTATTTGTAAACAGTCAAGACCATATTTAGACTACAGTTTTTAGTTATGTATTTTTAGAAATGAACCAAAATGTGCTTCGTCAATTTTGTTATATAAATAAAATTTTAGAAGAAGTATTATTATCTATACACTCTTCAAAAATAAATATTTTCGAAATTTTAGTGGCAAACTATTCCAGTTTCTTTTCTTTGTAAGGTTTATGCTAAGTTTTTAACGGCTATCTTTAGCTAAGGCTACTTTCCTATCCCTTCTAAATTTCAGCTTACAATTTCCTGCCAGAATGTGTTTTTAGAATCGCTGTTAATGCAAATGACGAAGAGCGGTACTTGAGTCGAAGTTCCACTGACTTCGTTAGACAGCCAGAGATTCTGACTAGCGCGCGTTTCCCTTTTGGCTACACTCTGTCTAAGCCATTACTACGCTCGGCCGTATTTCAGGCTCTTGATAGCTTCGCCGTTTAGTTAACATTTAGGGCCAACTCATTTAAAATTTTGATAGCTTCATCTATATCTTTTTAGGTAAGTATTAGTTAAGTTTGATTTTTTGGTACTCGTGAGTTCAAGCCCAAGTGGAGGCTTTTCTGTACACTCTAAGCTTTCTTAGAGTAACTGTAAATTCTTATTTTGAGAAATAAAGGGTAATTATAAACCATTCTTGGGTTTACGTTTCTGTTTCCTGAGCTAAAGCGATTATTCGCTTACCAGTTCTCGAGGTTCCACACACATAACTTAAGAGAAGAGATTGGAACCTTATATCCTTAATATGATCCTTCAGTTTTCTTGCCTGTATTCCAACTTATTATTTTGTCATACATGACGAAAATTGTTTCACAGACTTCCAACTAGGATATAGGAAGGATATAGGAAGTAAATGAATATGGTACCATGTAAAATTTATATATTTATTAAAAATATTTAAAAATTGCCAATGAAATACACGCACACACACACACACACACACACAAAAAAAAATTAATTAAGACGTCATCTCGGTAATAGTACTAAATAATTAATTATATTTTGTTTTCTTGGAATCTGTAGCTTATAATTAATGCTGTAACTTTTGCTTGAAAACTACAGATAATATTAAAATTTAGGAAAAAAAATTGAAGAAATAATATCTGCAAAGTGCTATTTACCACTTGACTGATTTTGACCAAAAATTGCCTTTGTGGTAAACACATTCGACAGACTAGAGAACCTGCTCTTGAAGAAAACTATAATTTAATATACTTAAATATGTACATACATGCAAATATGCATTTTGTAAAAAATACTTTCCTGAATCCAGCAGACCCCAGAATGGACGTCTCCTCCATCCAAAATCCAATCCTCTGTCCCTTTTTTTTTATACGACCACAATACTTTCTCTATATTATAGTATCTAGTGATTAGTCAGAAAGTAATAAATAATGGATTTATTTTATTTTATGAACATAAATCTCTACTTACCATAAAATAATAAAAGCACAAAAGCCTTTACAACACAGTTCAGCGACGGAAAAACGAAATTTAAAATTTGCCGTACTGGACAAAAAATATCGAACTAAAATCATTGACACCACTGTCTGAAGTCCTGTTGTGAGAAAAAAAAAATTTCACTCCCTATTTTACAGGCAAAAAGCTCGTGTGCATTAAAAATAATAATAACAATAATTTAATTGTACATGCACAAGAGTAGCGACTTGTTCTTAACAAAATTTTATGATTTCAATAGGACAAATATGATGGATGCTGCTTGAAACGTATTGTTATAGCCCAGTTTTAAAAAATAAAATTCTTCTGTCCAATTTACCGAGCTTTTAATGTGCCTCTCTTGGCATTTATCCTCCCCTCCTAAATCTGGTCCTCTCAACCTGATACACAGAACATGGCGATTTTTCGTTACTCCCCTGGTATTTGCTTTAAAATATAGATACCATAATAATCAAATTCTAATTCAAATGCTTATATCATTCAGAAATTTTAGTGTATAGTTTTACTTCAATAAGCAAAATTGTATTATTTCTCGTGCTTAAAATAACATTTTGCATTCAGTTTACTCAAGTTTATTATCTATAAAAATTATCTATAGCAGTACGGTTTCAAGTTAAAAGTACTATTTTTAATTTTATTCTGCTCCTAGTGTTATATTTTATTTCAGAATTATTCACTTTTTAAAAGTGTAAAAATTAATTTATAATGAAAAGATACGTAAAATATTCAGAAAGCATACATTTTTAATGATCTGGTTTGATCGAAAGCTACATTCCAATGCTTTGAGACTATCTAGTTTTACGAGGCGGCCTGAATATCTGAATTTAGTTTTTGCAAAGCTTTCCTCAAGTTACACTTTTATTTCTTCAGCTTTTCCTTCAGCTTTAGGAAATCTAAAATTGTTAAAAACATATACAGCAACTAGATATTACCAGGTTGTTTTTGGCATTTGCTAACCCATGAGCAGAAGAAGTCTTCTAAGCTGCAATTCTTTCATTGTCTTTATGGAAGATAACAGTTATCCAAAATGTTCTCTGTTACTTGTTTGTTGCCGAGTAATTTATGGATTTGAACGTTTAGTTTTGTGAACGATAAAAATTAGTACTAAATCGTTCAAGTTTAGCTAGAACGACAAAAATAAGAGCAAAATTCCATAAGGTTATGTCAATTAATGAAAGATTCAATTTGAATTTTAAAGATCATTATCTAGCAATAGTATATCCACTTTTCAACATTGATTTGATACGTTCAGTCATGAAATTATTAAGTTTAGAATGATAAACGATGCAATTTCTGTTCTGCAATTAATGATTGAAAAAATGTAGCGCATAGAATAACTTTTTAACTTCTTCTCTACGAAGAAGATACCATCATTATTTTCTCAAAATGCGTTTAGCCTTTTTACTGGACATAAAATATCAATTGATATTTTCAATCTATTAATAGTAATTGTTATTATTCTGTTTATTTGAACGGAAAAGACAGACTTTAGATTTTTCGAATTCTTTTACAGTGCCTTTTCCCTTGGCTGCGGGTCTTCCACCAGTTCCCCCAAGGCGTATAGGCCATCCCTATCAAAACCGAACGCCTCCTAAGAGAAAGAAGCCGAGGACAAGTTTCACTCGAATGCAGATCTGCGAACTGGAGAAGAGGTTCCACAAACAAAAATACCTGGCATCAGCTGAAAGGGCCTCTCTTGCGAAAACACTAAAAATGACAGATGCGCAGGTGAAGACGTGGTTCCAAAACAGGAGGACAAAGTGGAGGTCAGTATCCATTCTTCATTCTGTTCCTCAAAGCACTAAAGGCTTTCAAGATTTGGTTCTTCAAATTCATTTATGGTAATGTGTATTAGATTATCATTTTTTTTTTTTTTTTTTTTTTTTTTTTTTTTTGCCTGGCATACTTAGTGCATCTGATATATTCTTACTAGTAATAAGGATTGCGAATTTAATTCATTTCGTCATTTCTCAAGAAAATACGTGTTATTTCTTCCTTTTTTACGTTGTTTTAAATCGCGTTTACTTAAATTATACGCATTGCTGTCTCTAATTTTACCTTTTGAAAATTCAAAGGAAAAAATAACGCAGTAGTGTCGCATTATTTGTAAGAAAAACCACTCAACCGGTATAGCGGTTAGTGTTGCTGACTGCCGTTCGAATCTCAGAGAATGCATGGATGTTTGTAAATGTATAGTGTTCGTGCGATATAAGGAGCACTCTAAATATGCGGCGAGTCGAAAGTCCTCTCGAGAGGTTCTTGGTAGGGTAAAAGGGGTGGGAAATTATCAGATCCATCCCCCGGGCGCTCTCCATCGGGTGCTCCCCGGGGTGCTCTCCATCAAAATTAGAGGCGTAATTGAGTTAAATCGCACTGTCACCTGTAAGGTGCTAAAAATCTATTGCCAACGACAGGCGTAAACATGCGCTGGTTGTCACGAGGAATTTCATGGGCTTGAGCTGACTATAGGTCATACACATGAGCATTAGCAACAACAACAGCAACGACTTCCGAGAAAAATAGTAAAAGACGAACATATGAGATTAAAAAGTATGAACACACGAGATTGATAAGTTTTTCAGTTTAGAAACACAGAATGACAAATAACATGTACTGAAGTTATTAACTGCTATCTTAATTCAATTTACTATCTTAATTTTAATTGTTATTAATTACTATCTTTTGATAACTGATTTAAATCTGGGCAGAATATAATGACCATCTAGGTCCTCAGAGCTTGGGTTTAGTGCGCCAAAACATTGAGGCCTCTAAATCTTCCTGTACTTCGTAGGGTTCAGTTGTATATAGAAGATTGTGTCAAGGACCAACCTTGGTAGACTGATAGCGAGTTATCTCTTAATCTGAAATAAATACCAACTCTAAAAAAGGTTAAAATAGTATTTTTTTTATTTAATTCGCAAATGAACAGAAAAGCGCTAGTTGTGTGACAGACGAACTTCCCCGACTTGCGGTATTTAAATTAACGTAAGAGAAAATTAAATTTCAAGTGTAGGTGACGTAGTCAGAGACTACACTTAAAAAGAGACTTCTAAAGTTTGCTGAGGTATCTAACGGCGCGTATTTAAAATTATTACACCGATATTATCAAAGTAAAATTTTTCAGCATATGATGTAATGGAATACATGTTTAGAATTTTAACTGAATTAGCTATAATGAATATAAAATAACTTAAGAAACCGTAATCCCTTGATAAAGGAGTTTCTTCAATAGTTGTAGAGAAGTCAAAAGACTGGTAAGAATTGCACTTATTTTTATTTATATCAATGAACAAAACAAAGAAAATGCTAGATTTAGGTTTTATGAACTTCCGTTTCTATATGTATGTGTACATCTTTCTTTCAAAATATTTATGCGCATTTTATCCGCAAATTAATTTCATATTTTTCAAACTGCAATATTACACTTATAAGGTATTTCTCTCGCCTTCTTGGCAAGGCTTCGTGGTGTAGTGGTCTGCACGCTCAACGCGTAATTGAGAGGTCCGCGGTTCGATTCCCAGCGAAGGCGTTGCTAATTTTTCATCTTGCCTGCTTCCAAAAAATACCTAATGTCTCTACACACTAAAGTTAGAATACCTAATTCATAAAGATTTTAAACCTTGCAAATTTTATAATCGTACATAATTAATTATAAATAACATTTCTTTTCTGTAAAATAGGTACTTATATAATATATATATATCATTTTCTTGTTTGTCTAAAGTTCTGACTGATAGAGGTGTTTTTAATTTCAGAATTAAGTATCGATATCATTTGCATTCAGATTCTTGGCAGCAATACGTGTATATAAATCTATCTTTCTACGTAAGATATATTAGCATGCATCATAACCTCCAAAGGCCTTATGATAAATTTAAAGTACATGTTACCTCATCCATATCGTATTGAGGCGCAACTCTTATCTGCTTTAACTTAAACTTTTCTTAACTATACATTTATTAGAAAATTTAATGTTCCTTAAAGTTTGGACTTTTTGGGTAGATTATAGTCGTTCGTATAATATATAGCCCAACTACGGAATAAACAGTGTTAACTGATACACAAGTGGAAATAAATAGTTTTGTAGAATAAATAATTTTTTAATAACAAGATCCGTCGAATATACAGCGAACAATCATGTTTACATATTTCAGATAACTGCAGTGCTGCAATTATTGGTGATTCTTTCTAGTTCTCTTACACCAAAAAACGATTTTATTTAGTAATTTCGGTTGGTACTATGTCATCTGAATTGAGATTATGCTTTAGCATTTTGCAGGACTTTAGCAATTCGTGCTTTTTTACATATTATTATTTATAAACATGTTACAGATGGAGAAAAACACGAAAATGCTTATGCAGCTAGCCCGTTTATTTGAATTCTAGCCCAGGTTAAACTATCAGTGTTCAGCGACTTTACCGCTCGGCCGCTGATGGGCTAAAAACACTTTTCATATTACTTCTCTTTTGGATCGCCTAAAACACACGGGACTAGCTTTCAATCATAAATGATATTACTCATAAGTGACCTTTAATTACCTTTTAAGAAATGCGTCAAATATTTATGGTTCATTATCTGTCATGGCATAGCCCATTACAGTGAGATAGGATAAGGAAGAGTTCAGAATACTTCCCTTAAACTTGTTCATGTGAATATATTTATTGCATATACTGGCACTTTTAGCTTGGTGTTATTCAATAATTTGTTATAATTTCATCTTTATAGAATTATAAAAATTGATGAAAATTTTGAAATAATTAAAACTAAAATTAATTAAACAAAAGCAAATAAAATTAACAAACATATTTTTTATAAAATTTTCAAACATGTGCTGTTTTGGTAGGAAAATATTTCAATGGTGTGATAACTATTTGAGTAATTTAAAAATATACAGAGGGTCATGATCTTAGAAATTTCCTTCGAATTATTAATGAAAAAACAAAATTGTTACTAAATACTTTTAAAGACCAATCTAACCTTTTCGTAGCAAAAAATTTTGATATATATACCATAACGATCTATTTTTAGATTCAGGTTTCAGTATACCCATTTATAAAATTTATAAAGTATTTTAATAAATCAGTAGGTTGTGTTAGTCCTGTGAATATATATTTTATCATAAAGGTAGGTATAATATGTGAATAAAAATGAACTGTTCATTTTTATTTTCTTGGCAGACATGGGGACACAGTATATGCCAATGTAAAATAAACAGTACTTTGAAAAAAACTTAGGATTACTTTAAAATTTATCAGCCTCTTCGGAATATGCCTTACTTTGACCTGCAAACCTTGATTCTTTCTACAACAGTTTGAAGGAAAATAAAGTCTTTATCTTTTTGCTCGCTGTAAATACATCAAGCGATGAAATTCGATGTAAAGAAAGTTTTATTTTTTCTGAGTTCTTCAAGAGAAGAGCAAGCCTAACTTTCTTTACACTGTTCATTATGTGTCTCCGGGGCCAGCTGACAGGAAGATATGAAGCTGAGCATGTATAGGATCTCAGTTCTTTAAACGCTGACATGCTATCACAAGGGAATAACTGGGGTTCAAGTGCTCTTTACATCTGATGGCTGTTCATACATATTTAAGACAATGAAAAATGAAATCCTTTTGTGGTATGGCTGTTCTGCGGCGAAGAGATCCTGAATTTCCCAAAGGCCCACTTTGCCGTGTCATGCTGTTTTTCGTTAGCTGCTTCTGCTCGCGTTTAATGTTTCTTGATGCTTTTATAGAGTGGTGTAAAGGGAGCAGTTAGGAAAGAAGGATTCTGTGCAAAGGTCTCAGAAACCTGTGTCGGGAGACGTATTTCAGCATCGCTACTCCAGTGCATGACCTTCCTATTCAGATGAAATATTTCATGTCATAAAAATTTTTATAAACACTTTAATTTTATTACTTTTGAATAGCACATGATTCAACTCATATCTTGCAATCTGCATCCAAAATGTATTTTTTTAATTGATCATATATACATAACTAGTCATTTTTTTAGTTTCGAACCAATCTAGCATATCTTTAAAGAAAAATGTAAGTTTAAGTGCAAATAACCAACCTAGATTACCTGGTCTGAGCCAGGCCAGTGTGAGCTTGGATAATCGATTTGTTTTCATACTTTAAATTTTATCATTTGAAATAAACCAGCTATTTTGGAAAAAAAAAAAACTTACTTATTCTAATTACATGGGAATTTATATTCAAGAATTAATTATTTTATTTCACATTAAATTATATTTTGCTGAAAAATTAATGGAGGAACCAGAAACAAATGATGTTTTTAAGATTAAAATATAATTTCTGTGACCAACGTTCCCTCTAAACGCCTTGCCAAAAATTTAGCGCATAAAGAAAATTAACAAGCACAAACACGCCAATAATCAAAATAATAGTAATAATAATAATTATTATATTTTTACATTAGCATATTAAATATGTTCGTTACATATACATTGGTATTTGATACCCGAGCTTGTGTTGTTATGCAACCGTAGAAAGTTATCCTAGTGGGCTTGCACTGTCTCCTAATATGGCAAGTAAAGTGCGCGTTACTAAACAACGACTAGCACGTGGTACGTTATCCGCAAAATACCTTATACATTTAAAAATATCAGAAAACTGGCGAAGTAAAAATTATCCTTTCACGTTTTTAGAAATTATTAATTGCGTGGTTAAAAAAAGACTAATAAAAGAAATCAAGGCATTTAAATTTCACACTTTAGCTGTCGACGAAAATGCTGAATGTTTAATATTTTACTTAAAATTTAGATATGAACAGAATTTTCAAACTATTTTTAGTAGAATAATTCAATTAAAATTCCGTGATGCTTTTTCCAATTGTTCC